GCCCGCCCCCGGCCCCCCCCCCTCGTGGGGGGGGGGGGGCTTTGCTGCAGCACCAAAGCCACCTTCCCAGGCCTAGCAAGAGCTACCGACCCACTCCCGGAAAGGAGACTTTGCTGCAGGCTCTACAGTGGATGAAAAGCTGGATATGAGTCAACAGTGTGCCCTTGTAGCCAAGAAGGCTAATGGCATATTAGGTTACATTAAGAGGAGCATTGCCAGCAGATCCAGAGATGTCATCATTCCCCTTTATTCGGCTTTGGTGAGGCCACATCTGGAGTATTGTGTCCAGTTCTGGGCCCCCCACTACAAAAAGGATGCGGAAGCATTGGAGAGGGTCCAGCGGAGGGCAACCAAAATGATTAGGGGTCTGGAGCATATGACCTACGAGGAGAGGCTGAGGGACTTGGGTCTGTTTAGTCTGCAGAAGCGAAGAGTGAGGGGGGACTTGATAGCAGCCTTCAACTTCCTGAAGGGAGGTTCCAAAGAAGATGGAGAGAGGCTGTTCTCAGTAGTGACAGATGGCAGAACAAGGAGCAATGGTCTCAAGTTGTGGTGGGAGAGGTCCAGATTGGATATTAGGAAAAACTATTTTCCTAGAAGGGTAGTGAAGCATTGGAATGTTTATTTTTTTGAAGCACTTTGAGATTAAAAAGTGCGGTGGAAGTGCATAGTGTTTAAAACAAGAGATGTAAGCAAGTATAACCCCCCAATCTTGATTGCAACAACCACAGCTCTCTTCAACCAACAGCACACAAGAACTCCAGTTTTTCATGTGTTCTTGCACAAAACCAGGAGAAAATAGTGGTTTTTTTAAGAATCCGTTATTAAAAAATAGTGCAGTATTTCTCTTGCTGATATTTGTCTCTAACATACTTACTTCTCCATTTCTGTATTAATATTAAAACAATGGTGCTGTGACCTTCACATAGTGCAAGCCTTCTAAACTTTACTTTGCAAATAGGGTTTGGTGAGGATGAAAGATATTAATGCTAATGTTAAATCTCTTGTGAAAATCATGCATAATACTCACATTTTCCTAAAAGATATTGTTCAGGAGCTGTATAAATGAATTATCTAAATTTTTCTTAAGTATCTGTGGTAGATTTAAAAATGCAAAATGTTCTTAAATCTTTCAAAACTACTTTTGATTTTTGAAAGGGAGAAGGGTGAATTGACACGTAGGACAGCAATGGGGACCACAATGGATAGGGGCTGCTCCAGCAGGCCCCATGGGACTGGAGCGGCCCCCTGCCCAGGGCAGTGAGGGAGCTGCTCCAGCCTCTATAGGTTACCTTTTCACATTCTTACTAGGGATCAACCATCGAGAGCCCTCTCCACCAGGAATGTGTCTTTTGAACGCTCACAACAGCCCCTGTGGCAGGTTCCAGGTTGACGTGACTATGTAATCCTTATATTTGTTTTAAATGTAGGTAAATAAAACTTTTTATTTTGAGTCTCCACACTATTCATGACTTTATACAAGCCTTCTCAGCCCCTTTTAGTCATCTCTTTTCTAAATGAAGGAAGCCCTGTCTTTTTAATCTCGCCTAATATGAAAGATTAGTCCATATCCCAAATCATTTTTGTTGCCTTTTCTGTACTTTTTCCCAGTTCTAATATATCTTGTTTGAGCTGGGGTTACCAGAGCTGCATGCAGTATTCAAGATGTGGATGCACCATGGATGTAAACAAAAGCATTATGATATTTTCTATTAGCTATCCCTTTTATGGTTGCTAACATTGTTACCATTTTTAACTGCTCCTGCACCATGGTTAGCTATTTTCAGAGAACCATCCAAAAAGATTCCAACAACTCCTCCCTGAATTGTAAGAGCTAATTTAGATCCCCATTATTTTGTATCTACAATTGCGATTACGTTTTCCAAAGTTCATTACTTTGCACTAATCAGCATTTAATTTCATCTACCGGTACCATTTTGTCATTGTCACCCACTTAAATGAGATCTTTGTGACTCTTTGCAGTCAATTTGGACTTTCTAGCCTGAGTATTTTTGTAATTGTAAATTTTACTGCTTTCTGTTGTGAAACCCTTTTTATTCCTAACCTTTAACCTGTTGCTGATCTAAGGGAGCCTTCCCCCTATTCCACAACTGCTTACTTTACTTTAGAGCCTTTGGTGAGGGACTCTGTCAAAAGCTTTTTAAAGTCTAATATAGTATGTCAACTTGCCCACATGCTTACTGACTCCCTCAAAATAGAGTTGTAAAGGAAAGTCATGCCTCAAAGTCAAGTTTACTCTGCCCCAGTATACAGTGTTCATTTATGTGTCTGATAATTTTTTTCTTTCCTGTGGTTTCATCCAATGCACCTGGAACTGAAGTTAGGCTTACTAGGAGCAGGGGTAAGGTTTGGGGGAAAAGGTAGAGTAGGGGAAGGGGTAGATATGGGAAGAGGTGATGCTGGAGTAGGGAAGTTACCCCGGACTCCACATCTGGGGCAGATGAGGGTTGCTCTGCACCCCCCTAGGGACTAGGGATGTAAAACCCCTTTTAGAATGTTACCTGATCAAACTATATATTTAATCATAGCAACCCTCTGCCTAGTGGAGTGAACCTGGCCAAGGAGGGCCTACTACACCTCACTACAGATAGGGAGTTGCTGCTGCCGCCAGGCAGGGATAACCCTGTTTATTGACAAAGCCTTTGCTAAGACATGATGGGTAACAGCAAGAGACAATTGCAGCTAAGGACAGAACTGTATGCTGCCTCAAAGGCAGGGAAGAGAAGTTCTGGAGGGAAAAGAGAGATAAAGGAACCTTTGAGGCAATATACAGGAATGTAGGTGTAACTGGGACAGACATATGAAGGGAATGGGAATAGGATGGAGTGACAGGAAGAAATTGGGGGAGGAAAAGTGGATTATGTCTTGGCTCTGGGTTTGATTTGTTTTAAAATACAACAGTACTCAACAATAGGGGTGTGTAGATTTGTTTGTTTGGCAAAGGGAAATGAAGCCGCGATTTATATAATCATGGCTTCATTTAAATTTAAATGGCTGCTGCGCTGAGCCGACAAACAGCTAATCAGCTGTTTGTCGGCTCAGCACACTAGTCTGAACACTCCCCGGTAAACCTCATCCTACAAGGCATAACAGGGAGGTCGATAAAGGGCTTTCAGGTTGGCGTGGGAGCATCCAGACTAGTGCGCTGAGCCAACAAACAGCTGATCAGCTGTTTGTCGGCTCAGCGCGGCAGCCCTTTAAATTTAAATGAAGCTACGCTGATCAGCTGTTTGTCGGCTCAGCGCGGCAGCCATTTAAATTTAAATGAAGCTACGATTATTTAAATCACGGCTTCATTTCCCTTTGCTGATCAGCCTAATCTACATGGATCCATTGATGGAGCCATGTAGTTTAGACACACCCTAGGGTAGGTATGGGGATTCTGTGGTATGGGGATTAGGGTGCTCACCTGGGGTTCAAATCACCTGGCTCAAATACCTGCTCTGCCAGGCAGGAGGGCCTCTGGCATGTGAGAACAGAGCCCTTGTAGCTGATCAAGAGGCCATTTACAGTCCCTTTTGCTCTTTTAGGGGACTGGGACACACGACTCATGAGGAGAGGCTGAGGGATTTGGGTTTAATTAGTCTACAGAAGAGAAGAGTGAGGGGGGATTTGATAGCAGCCTTCAACTACCTGAAGGGGGGTTCCAAAGCGGATGGAGAGAGACTGTTCTCAATAGTGACAGACAGAACAATGAGCAATGGTGTCAAGTTGCAGTGGGGGAGGTCCAGGTTGGATATTAGGAAAAACTATTTCACTAGGAGGGTGGTGAAGCACTGGAATGGGTTACCTAGGGAAGTGGTGGAATCTCCATCACTAGAGGTTTTTAAGTCTGGGCTTGACAAAGCCCTGGCTGGGGTGATTTAGTTGGGCTTGGTCCTGCTTTGGGAAGGGGGTTGGACTTGATAACCTCCTGAGGTCTCTTCCAACCCTATGATTCTATGGAAGATCAAAGTTGGACTACAAAATCTTTTGTTGCAGAGGCCCATGGTGTAGAAGTGGTCTCAAGAGGAGTAAAAGTATCCATTTACCTCTTTGCGAAAGAGGGAAAATGGAGGAGTCTGGAAGTGAATTTGAGAGACGTCAGGCATAGAAGTATTAAACTGCCAATTAGAGGGGAGTTCAGCCTGGGGACCTGAGCGAGAGCACAGCAAAGAATGGTCAGAAAAATAAAACTGATCTCCCAGTGAGAGAGGAGGAATAAAACTTGTTCATATCAGCCACACAAGTAATGCTTTGAAAAAAGGACTAGACCCAAAGAAGTGCATTACCAACAATACCTGAGGTTGAGCATCAGTTTGCATGTATTTAGCAGTATTCTAATCAGAGGCCTGTGTGGACAAGGGAGTAGGGAGGGATGTTAGATCGTATGTAATTGAATAGTCATGTAACCTCATCAAATTTTAATGAGTACACAACTATTCAATAGTCTACGGAGCAGGTACGTGCAGAGAACTGGCTTAAAAGCTCCCGCCCCCCCCAATGCTGCTGCCTCTCGTAGAGATGCTCTTCCCTCTCCTCTTTGAGAGTGCTCAAGCTGGCGGGAACTCAATTCTGTCACCAACTGGAGGCGAGTAGGCTGGTGTTGGAAGTAGCCAGCCGGCCAGCACTCTATGGGCCAGTATTGAGGTTGGCTGGCAACATGGTTCAGCACTGGGACCAATGATCAGGCCAGCCAGCAACCTGGCACTGGCGGGGGGGAGCCAATGCTGGGGCCAGCCAGCAACTCAGCACTAGCTCAAAGACTTAAAGGCTAGAAGGGACCATCCTGATCATCTAGGCTGACCTGCACACTGCAGGCTACAGTGGCCTCACCCATCACTCCTGTAATAGACCACTAACCTTTGGCTGAGTTACTGAAGTCCTCAAAATCATGATTGAAAGACTTCAAGTTAGAGAGAGACTGACATTTATTCTAGTTCAAACTACCAAGTGATGCCTGACCCACATAGCAGAAAAAAGTAAAATAAAATCTACTAATCTGAATGGGAAGAGGAACTTCCCAACCCCAAATGTGGCAATTTGTTAAACCCTGAGCATGTGGGGGAGGACTGCCTGGCAGACACCTGAGAAAGAATTCTCTGTAGTAACTATGGACAGTGTCACGCAATACATGGGGGGGTGCTATGTGACATCAACGGGGTGACGTGCTTTACGTTGTGGGGGGGGCTGCTGTGTGACGTCAAGAGGGTGACATGTTTTACGTTGCTGTTTGCCTTTTGTGTGTGAGCTGCTGGTGCCTGGTCAGCAGGTGGCCAGGGCGGGGCAGCGCAGTGATGGACCCTGAGACCCACAGGGATCCCACCAGTTACCTGCTGCCTGTGAGAGTGGCCAGGGCCAGAAGTGGCTGCCAGTCAGGGCCCAGGGGATGTGGAAGGGCATTAAAGGTCTCCCCGTGTAACCGCTACCGTTTCATTGTGGTGACGCGCTCTAAGCTTCCTACTGCAGAGCCTGTAGCAAAGCCTCCCAGGGCAGCAGGTCCAGCAGCCCCTGTCGGCCCCACTCCTGGCGGGGGGCCTTCTCTCATTGGTTGACATTTACAGTTGCAGTGTGCTTTTGATGAGTGGCAACTGTTCAACTAATCAGCTTTGCCATGCTTATTCCTCCCTCCACGTATTGTTGAATGAATTGAGCTAAACTTACCCCTCCCTACAGATACTGGGATTGGGTTGAGCTAAACTTCTCAAACTTTGTTTGACCATTATTCTTTGCTTGCTATTGTCTGATTTATTTTCTTCCCTCCATTTTGAGCCTCTCCAATAAAAAACGATAGTAGCAGTCATGTTGAATAGTTTATAGTTAAATATCATCAATTATAACTTATTTAAAGCCGTAAGTCTAATACTAACTACAGTTTTATGCAAGCCAAAGCATCATGATATTGTCACCAACTTTGTTAAGTTGATTAAAGAAGGTGAATTTTTCAGTAATTTTACCCCCCTCCAAGTTTTGTACATTCCTATGCTTCTATCCTGGGTGCTGCCAATCATTATATAACTCATTAGAACATTAAAAGAATACTTGCCATCAATACAGAGCTGGGGTGGGAAACCTAAGGCCAAATGGCCAGATGCAACTGATTTTTCTGTGGGTCAATGGCCCCTGACCAAAAAAGGTTCCTCACCCCTGATATAGAGGACTACTGCATGAGACAGGCCATAAAATGTTATCCAGTTTTCCTAAGCATATCTTCTACAGGTATCCTATTTTGATTTGAAGATATCAAGAGGTGCAGAATCCATCACTTTTCTGGGTAGTTTGTTCCAATAGCTAATCACCCTCACTGTGAAATAAACAAACAAACAATTAGTCAAGCAAATTTTATTTCTTATTTGACTTCACCTTCCAACCTTAGGTTCTTATGGTTTTCTCCAGCAGATTAAAAAGTCCTTTTATATCCAATATTTTCTTGCAGTGAAGGTGTTTATACATTGTCATTTCTTAATAATCTTTTGATAAACAGGACACATTGAGCTCTAAATCTCTCCTGGCAATGGATTTTTTTCTAGCTGTCATGTAGCTTTTGTTGTTTTTCGCTATTCCCTCTAATTTTTGGAGCTTACTTTTTAAAATGTGCCCATTCTTACATTTTATGACTTTACAACTGTAATTGTGTAAAATTTCTCTGTGTTTCTATGGGTGTGTCTAAACTGCGGACTAAAGTCGAATTAAGATATGAAACTTCAGCTACGTTAATTGCGTAGCTGAAGTTGAAGTCGCTTAACTCGGCTTTTGGTGCTGTCTACATAGCAGGAAGTTGAAGGAAGAACATTCTTCCTTCAACTTACCTTATTCTTCATGAAATGAAGGTTATAGAAGTTGGAGTAAGGAGCCATTATTTTAAAATTATTTCAAAATAATGGGCTTGCTGTGTAGACGCACACTATGTTATTTTGAAATAACATGAGTAATTTCTAAATAAGCGTGCCATGTAGACATAGCCTAAGGGTATGTCTACACTTCAAACTGGGCACTACAATTCCCAGAGTGTTTTGTTCAGTTAATTCCACCCATCTTCACTGGAACCTGTTTACCCAAAGTCACTAATTACCTCTTTCTTCTGTTCTCTCCTGCTGGATTCTTATTTTGACTATCAGTAAGTCGCTTCTCCACCAATCCCTGATCAACCTAAGATTACATGACTTTGCTTGTGCTTGCTTCTCCTCCTATTTCATTAGCCACTCCTTCAGACAGCTCCTCTGGTAGTCCCTCAGTTCCAGCATGTTTTGCCTGTCCACTGTGGACATTAATTTGTAAAAAGTACTATTATATAACACAGATTCATAATAGGGTTACAAAATAATTCTCTCTCTCTTTCTCTCTCTCTCTCTATATATAGAAGTTTTTCCTGCAGGCGACAGAATGACATCATTATGCTCTCTGGTCACGAAATCGAAAGTGGCCAGAGAGAGGGGGATTGGTGAGCATAGCAAGCACAGGGCACAGCACACTAGTTACAAGAACGAATTTTCCTCTACATTAGTCACAGAAACTATGTTGCAGTCCAGCTAACAACTGAGATTTGCTTTTGGCTTGGTTAGCTTTTACTTTGTGCCCTAAAGAAGGAAACTGTTGATCTGTATTTTGCATTTTCTGAAAAAACTTAGAGAGGTAATCATATCCTGGAGAAATGTTTATTAAAGCTTGAAGGCTTAGTTACTGGAAAATTCAGGTTACCAGGAACACAAGTGTGTTTATATAAATGAAACAGAGTAAGTTTCACTTGTGTAATTACTATTAAAGCTTGTATTATCATTTTTTATTACTTGCTTATATGTTGTCTCTTCCTTTCCTACTGTATGAAGTACATGCTTAACCTCTCTAGTCCAGCATCCCCAGGACCTGACCAATGCCGAACCAGAGAATTTGCCAAACCACGGGAGGTCAATATTGTCTAGGAGCATTACCCACATTTCCACTGCTTACTGGGCTCTTAGAAGACATTTAGGGGTAAATTAGAGCTAAATAACAACACAGAACACTGAGAACCAGGACACTGAGAAGGACTTAGGTTCTTATTTCCCTGCCATTGTTGGTGCATCATCAAATGGAATACATCCAGATTACTCTGGTGAATGACCCATGCCCACATGCTACAGACTTCAGAAGGCAAAACTCCCAAGGGCTCAGGGGCTCCCTCTCAATCTCTGTATTGTGTGTTTCTTTGTCTCCTTCTGCAGGTTGTGAGGTCCATCAACTCCATCCTGCTGCGCAGTGTCATCCGCCTGGGAGACCTGGACTTGATCGTCACAGGATTTGCCACCCTGGAATTCCCCAACTGCTGAGGAGCAACTGATGGAACCCACATCCCAATCCGCGCACCACATCATTGAGCCACCCAGTACATCAACAGAAAGGGCTATTTCTTGATTGTGCTGCAGGCCCTGCTTGACCACTGTGGACAGTTTACGGACATTTTCATTGGGTGGTTGGGCAGGGCACACGACGCCCATGTATTTAGAAACTCCAGACTCTACCAGAAGCTGGAGGCTGGCACATTCTTTCCCCAGCTTGACTTTGGGGTTGCGGATGTGCAGATGCCACTGTGCATCATGGGGGACCCAGCCTACCCCCTCATGCTGTGGCTAAAGAAGCCGTACACCAGCCACGTGGACCCCAACAGGGACCAATTCAATGCTCACCTAGCCAGGCCTACATGCAGGTGGAATGCACCTTTGAGCACTTGAAGGCGAGGTTCAGGTGCCTCCTAACCTGCCTCGATGTGGGGGGAGCATAACATTCCTGAGATCGTCTCTTCATGATGTGTCCTCCACAACATTGTGGAGAAGAAGGGGGAGGCCTTCCTATTGGGGTGGAGGGCAAAGGCTAGGCACGAAGGTAGGGCCTTCAAGCAGTCATGCACAGCTGCCATCCGCCAGGCCCACTAGTTGGGAATATACATCCAGGAGGCCCTGAGGGAGCATTTCTCTCAAAGACCCCAGTAACTCTCCCCAGGGCCTCCCCAGTAGGGGGCTGTGCCTTACTATACTATCCCTTTCCCACCACAACCCCTCCCTTCCCACCTTCCCTGAACTCTCAATAAACACACCTGTTTTGATTTGAAGAAAATAAACTTTGTATTTTTTTATAATAAAATAAACTGGGGAGGAGGGGAGCCGAGAATCTAGATGGGGCAGGGAGGAGGGGGGCTGAGAACCTGGATGGGGGGAAGGAAGGAAGGGGGCTCAGGGCTGGGTGTGGTGCGTGGGGCAGCTGGAAGTGCCACTTTGGGTCCAGGGACTTTGGCAAACTTGGGGTTGAGTGGGGCCTGGGACAACAGCGGGGTGGGCAGGAGGGGGGGCTGGAGTAGGGTCAGGGATGGCAGGGGGCAGAGGGAGGAGGCATAGTGGGGGGGAGGGGAGAGGCAGGGACAGGAGAGAAGGGAATCCTCAGGTCATGTAAAGACCAACTCTGTGCCTCCCACTCCCTCACTTCCCTTTAGTAAGAGTAGGCACCACAAAGAGAGAAGATGGAGATCAACAGAAATAGCTTCAATATTCTATTAATTTGGGGAGGGAGCAAAGACATGGCTGGGGAGGCAAGGGGAGGGGGAATGGGCACAGCAGGGGGGTTGGAGAGTGATAGACAGGAGTAGCAACAGCATCCAGGTGAGCCATCATTTCCTGCATGATGGCATACATGTTGCCCTGCGGCACAAGCTGGTCCCACACGTGGTTCCATCACTCAGTGTCCTCCCAGAACTTCTGGGCCTGTGTTTGCTGCATGTCATGCAGGACGCCCACATACTGCCTCAGGAGGTCCTCCTGGACCCTCGTGCACTTGTGGCACTCCCATAGTCAGGCGGCTGCCTCTGATGACATGGATCACCCCTCAGCGACAACTAGTCCGGCTGTGGAGAATAAAGAGGAAGAGGCGGTCAGCCATCTATGCAGATACCGTCCATGAGGCCGTGCCCTCCTCTGTGAGTAGCGACCAACAGCCCTCGGGCCAGAGGACAGGGATGACGTGGGAGCAAGGCCATGTGTGGCCTGCACAGCAGGCCCTGCCTCACAGGGGCCCCGAGGTGCTCAGGGGACCATGCTTCCACTTCCCCCCCTTCCCATCCCACAGATAAGCAGGCAAGGGAAGTGTGTGGCCACAGTGGGATTCCATGGATGGGAGAGGGGCCTGGGGCAGCCTGGCCTTCCATAGCGCCCGCACACACACCTGTGCCTGGCAGCGCTGTCTGCAGGAGCAGGTGGTGCCTCGTGTGTGTAGGCATGCCCGTGTGCTGTGTGTGGTACTCCTTGGTCTGTGTGGGGTCGTGTGTCCGTCCTTGTGCCCAACCTGCTTCCAGCAGTGGCTGGTGGTGGGAAGGGCATCTCCCCCCAGGGGTCAGACATGTATGTGGCCTCTGTTGAGCCTGTGAGCAGGAGCCCAGGCATGCTTCAGGGATGCCTCCTGAGGCCACATAGCACAGACTGGTGCTACACGTGCTTCCACGTGCACTGACTGCAGCACAATGTCCAGGCTGAGCAGGCCAAGTGACGATCGCACCCCATCCCCTCTGCACCTGCCTCCCCCACCCTGTATATATGGAAAACTGAGAGCACTCACCTGATGATCCCTCCCCACCATCAGAGGATGCCTGCGACACATCCAGGCTCTGGAGTACTGGCTCAAGGGTCAGAGTCACGGTGCTGGCTGTCCTCCTCCTCCTCCTGCACTTGCTATTCCTTGTCCTCCTCCTCCTTGGCAGGGATCTCGGGGCAGGGCTCCCCACCCCTCAGGATCTGGTGAAGCTCCTGGAAATAGGGGCAGGAGTGGGGTTTGGCCCCGGAGCGAGAGCAGTGCTCCCTGGCCCTGGCATAGCCCTGGCAGACTTCCTTCACCTTACTCCTCACTTGCTCCAGAGTCCTGGGAGGGTCCCCTCTCCACTAGGACCATAGATGTCCGCATTTCTTTTCTGGGAGCGGAGAGCCTGAAGGGTACCCTCCTCCCCCCACAGCTCACCCTGGACCAGGAGGGCACATAGCATTTGCTGCCCCTGGCTTGGTCCTGGGAACTCTGCTGGGGCTCCCTGTGAGGGCCGGAGGGATGTTGGGGGGCTTGAGGCTGGGCCATGGGTCCAAATCTGGGTGGCAGTCAGACCCCACAGTGAGGTGCAGCTCCCAGGCCCAGCTTTCCGCCACAAGGCTTGTCCCAGGTGCCTGCAGCTTTAAGAGCTGTCAGGAGACAGGAACTATAGAGTTCTGATTACTTTGGACAGAGTGGCCAGCCTGTGTTATTTCCTGGAGGCCTCTTCTTTAAAAAAAACAACCCTCTCTTCCACGTCCACACACGCCTTTTTCCGAAAAAGCTTTTTCGGAAACAGGCTTCTTCCTTGTAGAAAGAGGTTTACCGCTGTTGGAAAAAACCCTCCATTCTTTTGACTTTCTGTCGAAAGAACACAATAGCAGTGTGGACATAAGTGTAGTTTTTCTGGAAAAACGCTGCAGCATAGACAAACCCTTAGAGACTAACAAAACAGGTAGATGGTATCATGAGCTTTTATGGGCACAACTCACTTCTTCAGATGAAAGAGAGTAAGCGCTGATAAATTTTTAATTGATGATGAATCCCAGCTAGAGGCAGTCTAAGCTGCCATAAAACCAGTAAATAAAGAGTAAGAAGGGAGTTGCAGTACAGAAAGCTTGTGGTCACTTTCTCAAGATCTAGAGAGGGAAAGCAGAACAGTGGATGAGAATAGGCCTCTTGAGGAGATGGACCAGGAGTCTGATAGAACTGAAGTGGGAAACTGAAGTAGGATTTGAGACAGAACAGATCTTGGCAACAGTATCCCTGAGGTGGAACCTGAAGTAGTGGGGGGTGTGGGTTCCCCTACCAACCATTGGAGACATGACACAGACTGGGCAGTAGAGCAGGAGACTGCTTGAGACAGTTTGTTCAGGAAGATTTAGATACAACCCCAGAAGGAGAAAATTATAATGAGCAGGCCCCAGCCGGCCAAACCACAAAGATGGAGCATCTTGAATGATGAAGTGGGAGTAACCTGACTCCAGAAAGAGAGAGAGAATGAGGAAAGGGACAAGAAACTGAAGGAAAGGGTATCAGACTGAAGGAAAGGGTATCAATCTACTAACCCTCCCCTCCCCGCTGTACCCTAATGCCTGAGTCTCACCAGAGCCGCCACCGCCACATACTTCTCCCTCTAGGCACTGGGGCGCGTGTGCAGAGCAACCGGCCATGAGCAGTCTGGGCATGCAGGTCAGAACTAGCAAGAGCCACATTTCTTTG